AAGTCATTAGCATTATCATGCATAAATCTGAGCATTTGTTCTGCTGTCTTGATCTTGTGTCTTTGGCTTTGGAAGTTAAAACTCACTCCTTGAGGAATTTCCCATCTATATCTTATATTCAACTGTCTTAATTTGTCTGTAAGTCTCTTAAATTTTTTCCTGTCTTGAATGATTACTCCGGGAAGCTCTTTCATTATTATTATCTTCTTTCCATCCATTTCCAAAGGTTCCGTGAATTGTTTTCTAAGTATGATCTCCTTCATTCGTTTAGTTAGTAACTGAACAATTCATTGCCACAGGAAGTGGCGGCGGCTACAAGCATGGACGGCTTCAAAAGGGAATTAGATAAGCATATGGAGCAGAGGTCCATCAGTGGCTATTAGCCACAAGGTATAGATTGGGGCAAGTGATGCTCTGTCATCTTGGTGCTTGGGGGGGGTCAACAGTGGGAGGGCTTCTAATGTCCTGGCCCCACTGGTGGACCTCCTGATGGCACTGGTATTTCTGGCCACTGTGTGATACAGGGTGTTGGACTGGATGGGCCTTTGGCCTGATCCAACATTGGCGTCTCTTATGTTCTTATGTTCTTATCTCTTGGCAGATTTTTCTGCTGTGCATAAGCTGAGTTCACTCTGTAAATCAAATCGAAGTTAATATCAATGTCATCAACTTCTTCTTTTAAGTATTCTGCAAATGCTGTAATCACTCTGTTACGGATGTCATCCTCCATTTTCTCTTCCACCCCTCTCAGTCTTAGATACGTCTGTATAGCTCTATATTCCATCATTGTGTCTATCCTTTTATTTTCTTTCACCACTGTATCCACTTTCTGGTCAATGTCTTGTGTTTTTTCCCTCTATTTCCACAGATTTCTGTGCCGAACCTTGAAACTCTTTTTTCATTTCTCCCATCTCTTTCTTAAGGTCAGCCACTTCCGACACTACTAGCTCTTTCATTGTGGCCATATTTTTTTCTTGGGCTTCTTCCATATGTTCCATATGTTTTGCCAAATCTTGTATGGCATCCATCATCCTCTTTTCCATAGCTTCCATTGCTGCCTGTCATTCTTTATTCTTAGCCTTCGTCATTTTCGGGGTCGAGAACGACGCAGCTCTCGGTCTCTGTCTTAAATCCGTATTGAAAGCTCAAAGAAACTTCTCCCACTGACACAGTTCGATTGCCCTTTATGCGCTTAACCAAACCGCTCTGTTTACTTCTTTTAAATGTCTAATACTGGTCGAAAAATTGAATTTTAAAACTTAGTCCTCCTAAAAATGTCGGGCGTTTTTTTCTCTATGGTTTTAGAATGCAGAGTAGGCTCTTCTCTTTTCACTTCCTGTCCATCCGCTTAATCGCTCCTCTTCTTACCTTCCGGCGTCACTCTCTCAATCTTCCCCCTCTTCTTCCTGTCCGTCGATTTGCCGTCCGATCTTCTTCCGGTCCTCCAGGTTCTTGTCTAGCCGCAGTCCTGCGTCTCTGTTGCACTCTCTCTGCTTCACTCCCGGAACCCGGCCTTTTTAGTCCCTTTCAGTTCCTCCCCTTCTCTTATTCTCGCGATTTCTTAAGCATAATTTTCTGTTTCTTATCTCTCTCACAACCACAGGAATGTTAAACAGTTTGCTTTTTCTCGTAATTTTGCTTGTTTAACCGCT